GTAGTTCTCCTGGTCTTTATAAACAAGATCATACTTTATATACACGATCGTATTCACTGTGCTATTTTCCTAGATATGATCATCCTAGTATGTCCAATCAGCAGCAGAAGAAACTACAATATTTGAAAGAGAACATCATTTAAAACAACACAAATACAGTCACAGCCAATAGACACAAAAAGAAATGGACTTTTCTTTGTTGTGTACAGAGAATGAGGAGACCACTTTAAAGCGAGTCTCACACAAGGAGCTGACATTAAGAGGCTCCAACGTACTAGAGAGGACACTGTGCTAACTCAACGGAAAACCAGCTCCCCATGTCAACTCACATCACATTTGTGGGTTGTTACTTTTAACAAGGCAACGAGGATCTAATGGATTCTGAATAACAGATGTGAAGTCCAAGCAGCAGGCATGTTAAATCCATTATGAACTCTAAAAGCACACAGTTGTATTGCAAGCTTGAGACCAGTGCACTCTGTACCTCATGTATTTTTACTTCATGTATTTTTCTATATATTTTCTTATCTTCTATGATACTTAGTTGATGATGAATAGAATGAGTGATCAGTGTGCATACTAAGCACATTTATTAAATACTTAATATATATGTGTTAAAACTTATGTGTAAATTTATATGAATTATATCAATATATATATTATATAAAATATATTTACAGATATAGACAAGGACATTACATTTTAAGTTTTAATAGACTATTTGATAATTATTCCAATGTATTTTACCTTATTCATACATTGATAAAGAAATGTGCCTCTTAATGTGTCTCTCCTTTCATCTGGAATTATATATTTCTGAAAAACCTGCAAACACAATCTATTATTTGAAGCCATAAAACTGTCACACTATTGACATCTTCAAGATAAACAAACCACAAATAATAGGCTTTGCCACCCCAAGATACAAAGAGTGCAGAAATGTCAAACTGTAACGACCTCTTGTGCTCTACTTTGGCTGACTTAGAATCTGACCTCCACATTCACAGAAGAATCTAAATTGGAGGTTTTTGTTCATTTATTTTTCAGTAGGTTACTCAAAGTTGACTTTGTCTCACTGTGGAAGTCTCTTAACTCCACAACCACCTGTGACAGCACAAATTCAAGCCAGGAGCGACACAGTAGCAGTTGATTTGCAATAGCACATGCTCATTCTTATGCTTTCTCTCAGCACCCACTGCACCCTCCAGAGGTGCAGACAGAATTCAATGTAATGGATATGGAATCACCAACTGGCCAAGGTATGTGAAGGCAAATAACCTGATTTTCTGACACTGAGGCAATTAAAATAGATACGTTAGAGCTACAACGAAGAAGCTGGTATCACACTCATTCTGCTAACCATGACTAGCTTGAAAAGCATGCTAAATGAATCGTCCAACTGAAGGCCTCAGAAAATCACCCAAGCAGCCTGGATTAAGGAGCCAAGACTCTGGAGAGAACCAAGATGCAAGAGCCAGCAGGTTCTACCAGCGCAGCCTTTCCAGCAGCGGACATGCTGTTGCTTCTGGGCCAAGACAGAGGCCGCACAGGGAGTGCACAGCGAACGTGGAGAAAGCTGGGCACGGGTTTAGCAGTTCTGCAATTCGAGGAGGAGGAGCAGTCCCACTCTGATTGGGGCTCAGGGGCAGAGCAAAGCCACACGGACAGCAAGCCACCTTCTCACCTGTGGCCTGGGCGGGCTGCGGCTCAGGGAGCAGAGCGGCGGAACTGGCTGCCTTAGCAGCTCAGGATGTCTGCCCACCGCTCACCTGCCCGCCAGGAGGGAACAAGAGGATTCTTCCTTGGGAAAACACAATGTCATCTGGCCTCTACAAAACTTTCATAAGGAATGAATGTTCCATAGTCAGTCAAAAATTTCCACGTAATAGAAACAGACACAATGGGTGCACACACATGGAATGGAAAAAAGACCCCAATTATGGTTCTCAGACACCAAATTTAAAGTAGTACTGACTGACATGAAAATAGATGGAACGATAAAGAATTTCACCACAGAAGAGGAATCTTCAAGAGTACAAAATGGAAAATTTAATACTAAAAAAGAAATTTCTAACGTCTCCAATTAGCAGATGACTTTATCTGTGGATCAAAAAAAAACCAGAATACAGAACTAATAACTTGATAGGCCAATAAATCCAGCTTGTAGACCCCAAAATAAAAGACAGAGGACAGAAGACAAAAATAGTTCAGGGGCTGGGGATCTAGCTCAGTGGCACAGTGCCTGCCTCAAAAGTGTGGGGCCCTGAGTTCAATTTCCAGTTTCCTTAATATTCACAACCATCTGCATTCTTAATGCAGAACTGCTAAAAGTTCATTTGAAATCAGGAAAATCGTCTTCTTTTATACCAAATTACCCAGAAGAAAAAGGAAAAACTAGCAAAAGATTGTAAAGAAAGCAAACTTATTTTTTGAAGGCAACATAATCGTGTACATAGCAAAATTTTAAAATACTTTTATAGTTAAGTGAATTTCATAAACTTACTGGGCTTGAGGTGGTATTTTTAAAATATTTTTAAACAATAAACATTCACAAATAGCAGACATTAAAATTTATTTATAATGGTATTTACATCATTTAAGTAAAGCTATAAAAGAAATCTCACAGAAAAGCGAAATATGAGTATTCATTGAGAGGAAGTTTACAGACCCAAATAAGTGAGTGCATTTAGAAATGCTTATGTGTTTAGTTGTCCCTAAATTTAATGCAATAAAATTAAAAATCTCCAGGAATTTTGCACCCTCTCATCCCAGGGAACTGGTGAGCAGATTCTGACCCATAAAGGAAACACAAAGGACCCAGAAGAACCAGGCCAGTTCTGAAGTTCGGATACGGAGGACTTGAGTTCAAGGAATCACCATGTATTACCACAGACCAATGGAATGGAGTGGGGCTCTCACGACACGAATGAGTCATTCGTGTTTGGTGACCTGATTCATGCAAAAGGGGGTGCGGTGGGAAAAGCATGGCCTTTCTAAGAAACAGGTTTATGTCAGACTGATGTGCGTAAAGAAAACAAAACTGAACTGACTCTGCATTTTAACAAGGTGTTTTCCACACATATGGAAACTCCAGAGTACTTAACTCTCCTCCACGAAGGAAAAGGTGACATCACAATTGTAATCCTTTTCATTTGAAAGCCTTGAACAGACAGACACCTCACAAAAGAGGCTGGCAGTGGACAAAAATCATGTGAAAATGCGGCCAGTCCCATTGCTAATCAGAGGAACACCAAACAACGAGGTCCCCTACATATACCCAGTAGAACAACAGACAAACACAACAAATAAGAAGAATTTCTGTAATCTATTGGGGGAAACATGAACTGACACAACGTGGAAAATCGTTGATATTTCTCAAAACTGAACATATATATGCACTTTGACCCACCAATTTCACTACTAGGCATACATTCAACAGCCAAAGTATGTATCTATGTTACCTAAATGCATGTGTGAGAATGCTCCTAGTAGTGACATCCTCGCTCAAACAGACCACATTTCCATCAATAATTAGATTTCCACATATCCACAAAGGGACTTTTTTTTTGCTACTGGGGATTGAACCCAGTGTAAACTACATCCTCAGCACTTTTTAAATTTTGCTTTGAAACAGACTCTCCATAAATTACCCAGGCTGACTTTCATCTCGTAACCCATCGGCCTCAGCCTGTGTCACAGCTGAGACACAGCTGTGCACCATCCTGCCAGGCTACAGAGGGATTTTACATAGCAACACAAGAGAAAAAGCCTATTCCACTTCTCACTGTATTTATTATGTTGTTACACACAAAAACACGGAAGACGTTATTAACCCTACTTCTTGATCTGTATGATGGTTTTGAGTGTGACTGCTTTATATAAATTAGATGAACATGATATTTATATGTGTACACCATACAATATTGATGCATTGCTATGCTAAACACTTACAGAAACATTAGCTACGCCACAGCAGCAAAGGGAGAAATAGCACTGAGCTGTCCTCAGAACTATTTAATAATATCCACAGATCAGATTAGTGCTAATCTTTGTGAACTTCTGAAATGATCACAGGAGACTTCTCCCTGCCTTCCCTCACTGGGAACTTGATTACGCAGGGTGAGGTCTAGGTGGGCAGGATGGAAGGAGGCCAGTGGACAGGTTTCAAGTCAGTTTGCAGGCTACGTGGAATTGCACTTTGGAATGCAGGGTGCAGGCTGGGTGTAAGCAGAACTCTCGAATGCTCCCACAGGAGCTGTGCCTTTACTCCTTAGAGGGTGCACAGTTTCCTCTCTCTGGCTCTGTCTCTCCTTCCCCCTGGCTCCCTGCAGTGTCAATGGCTGTGTTTCTGCTGCAGGGCTCTTATTTGCCATGGACCCGCTCTGTACTAGGATTTGTGTTTCACAAGTGGACCAGTCTCATGGGTGCACAAAAAGACAGCCCCTACAAAACAGTTGTACTTTTTGATCCATTGCTATCGAAAACCACATCATGTTTTCAGTTAGCTGGTATATTTTCCTACATGTAATTTGCCCCTTGATTTGGAGGATCTCATACCTAAAACCTGCCGGTCCTTTGGGAAGACAGGCACATGCGGTGTCACTGTTCCTGTCCCGTTGCTTTACCAGAACCTCTTCAGAGTGGAGGCTCACGCTCAAGTAAAACCTGGGTGCCAGCTGGTCTTGAGTCCATCAAAAATGTATAGGAAATGCAGTTCTTTACTATTTAATTTTAGTCTGTCTAGTGAACAGTCAAAGGAGAATTACTTGTTCTAAGTGCAAAGAATAGTTTTTGATAGGATTACTTATCTTCAGAGTTGCGTTGGAACTAGCTAAAGTGACTCACATGACTCAATAGAGAATTTAATGTTTTTCTCAGAAGTATGACTTTAATTATTGTTTGATTTTTTTCTTCTAAATCATTCACTGGATAGACGTGAGAATGCCTAGCAAGTGTTGTTATTCTATGGGACTGAGTGCTACTTTAAAATTTACACTCACCATGGGAGAATAAATTGGGAGTTCCTTGAATGGGTTGACCAGCAGGAGGATGTCCCCGATGAAAGTCTGCGAAGGAAAGGTGTAAATAACTCATGAGCCATAACAGTGTCTTTAAAAATTAAAAGTCACATAATTTAAAAATCACTCTGGCAAAGATAGTGATTATGTAAAAACTACCCTTTAACATTTTGCAAGGTGTTTCATTTTAATTAAATAAATGCAAATGTTAAATTAAATAAAACCAACAGATTCTGTTCCACTAAGCCCATAGCAAGTGAAATGGTGGAATTCTAAGTGTTTACCTGAGAAGGATTTTGTGAGAATCAGTCTGAATAGAAAATGCAGCATGTAAATACATGACATGCACATGAGGAGAAGTAAATGGAGTAGTGGCTTCTATTCTGCTGTAGAATAATGATGAAACAAATCTAAAGTATTATCAAAGCACACAAAGAAAATAATTTGTTAATTAATGAAAATTTAGTAGTGAGATACAAAGGCACAAAGAACAGATGGAAGAAGAAAAGATAAAATGATGGATTTAAACCCTAGCATACCAGCAATTACAGCAAATGTAAAGTTACTAAATATTTTAAAGATAAGTATTATGAACAAGATTAAAATACTGAATATGTGGTACATTCAATCTGTATATGTGGTAATTAACTTTATAAGGTCTTCTAAGAAAAATCAATGAATCCAATGCTGGCGAAATAAAGATGGGTGGGGGAAAGGGGGAAAAAACAAGTGAAATTTGTAGCATACATGTACAGTTCCCTACAGTGAATGTCATTATTACACACTAAACACATGGACTGATAAAAGCAAAAACAAAAATGTTCAATGTAAAGAGTAAGAACATTTGAAAGTAAAAGGATGAAGCCATAAACAATAATGACAACAGGAAAGGTCATTGTAGCACTCCTTAATGCACAGAAAATGTAATTTAGGAAGCATTACCAGGAATATAAAGGGACACTTCCCAATGGTAAACTGACAAATCGATTAGGAAGATACGTCAATTCTAAATTTCCATCAGAATAAAATCCAACTCAATTATATGAAAAAAAGACAGATATAAGTCTGAGAAACTTTATAAAGACAGTGAGAAACTTTACCAGCTTTTTTTAGGAATTCATGGAATAAGCACGCAAAGTTTTGATTTATACAGTGTGCTGTCGGAATAAGCATTCCCTTAAATTAAACACAGAGCAATTCAGTAAATGTAGAGGGCTTCCGGCAGAGAACCATGACCCCCGATCAAGGCAGAATTACGCTAACTTTATTGTGTGCTGGAAATTAGCAGGAGGGTTCAGGGACTTTACCACAGAAGAGAACTGACTTGAAGTGTAGGCTACAGGTGTGTACATGCATATCAACACAATGGGTTGGCACTGCAGATATACCCAGTAAAAAGTAATGCTTCAAAAACTGTCATTCAACTAAAAATATAGAAATCAAGAATAGGTGCCTAAAATAATCACCAAACTTTTAGAAAATATACTGCAAGTAACCCAGTAGTGAAAAAAGAATAAAAATGCAAATAAGAAAATATTTTGATCACAGCATATTACACCCTGTAGGTGTAATATACCAACTGCAGATGTACTTGGTATGAAAGGAATAGTCGAAAACGCTGGGAAAGAAGAGTGATCCTAGTGATGTGAGCATGTGTATTTCAAGGAGCTCTTAAGATAACACCAAATTGTGCAGAAAAAGATGAAGAAAATAATGCATAGTAGAAATCAGTGGAATAGAAGCAAAAAAGCCAAACTGTGATCCTTCAAAAAGTCCGCTACTATTGACAGTCCTGTAACAAGACTGACTGAAAAGGTAAGAGGGGGTACACCATTCCAGTGTCAGAAGGGAAATTGATACAGGTCCAGCAGACCTGAGGGAGGGCCCACTGGATTTGGTATTTATTTTAGGTAGGCGGGCAATGACAGGACAGCACATCTTATCAAACTCCATTGAAAATCTAGCTAGCTCTTTCTCCAAGAGAGAAACAGAATCTATGTCTATGAATCCTTTTCTCAAAGAACACTTAGGCTTCTCTGGTGAATTCCTCCTGGTATTGATTAAAACAAAGTGTCATAGGGCTAGGGATTTAGCTCAGAAGTTCCACCACTTCACAAGCGCAAGGTCCCGAGTTCGATCCCCAGTACCAAAAACAAAACAAAACAAAACAAAAACACAAAGTGTTATACAGATTATTTAGAAAAGACAGAAGGAACACTTACTTCCTATTTGTCTTTAAGAGGTCTGCATGACTTGGATATTAAGTCTAACTAGTATATTGCAAGAAAGTAGATTTACACGGTGACCTCTCACAAATACATGTAAAAGGGCCAGGGATTTAGCTCAGTGGTGCTGCTGCCTACCTTGCAAGAGCAAGGACTGGAGTTTGAACTGCTACAAAAAAAAAAAAAAAAAAAAAAAAAAAAAGTTAAAAACTCAGAGCAAAAGAGTGATGAATTGAATCAAACTATTTGGGAAAAAGGACAGAAAAGAAATATATGTCAGACAAGTAAGCTTTATTTTAGAAATGCAAGTTTGGCTGTATGTTTAAAAATCGACAGTTTTACTGATATTAAAAAGGAACATACGATCCTCTTCCTAAGTGGAAGGAAAACAATAACATTCAGTCCCCATCCCTGCTTTACACATGGTGGTAAATTCTAGAGCCACTGAGGTAATGCTTCTCACTAGTGCAAGGAAAAGTAATGTCAGAGGTGGCCATGCCTCTCGAAGGACCTGTAATGAAATATTGGTGCTGAAATGGAAAGAGACCCCAGTACTCAGCTTCCAGGCTTTCTTTTGTGGACAATCACACAAGAAAAGACAAGAAAAAGTAAGAAGGTTTAAAAATGAGAAATAAAAGTCATGACTTGGAGAATGACACTGTATGCAAAAAGTGGAATAGAATCTCCATAATAAATATTTATTACGAATTCACAAAATTTGATAATGAAAAGGTAAACAAAAAAATCAAAAGTTTTATCTGTGTAAATGAAAATGAAATTTCCTTCTTTTCATAATAAGAAAATAACCTCAAAACTTCAAAAATGCCTGGATATACGTTTAATACATATGGTCTTCTTACACCAAAATATAAAAAACTATGGTAGAGAAACTGATAAAGAAAGAGATAACAGTCTGTAAAATGAAAAGTGAAATATAAAAACCTCTATTATTTGCAGCTAACCTAGTATCTGATGTAATTCCAATGAAAATCCAATTGATTTTTTTTTTTTTTTTTTGTACCAGGGATTGAACTTGGGACCTTGCACTTGCGAGGCAGGTGGCAGAACAACTGAGCTAAATCCCTGGCAAAATTTCTTAATTGATGTTAGAATATACATCAGTGTCCAGAGCCCGATATTATTGGCTCCGGCATTTTGTGTAGAGTTAGAGAACTTTCCATCCATCAAGATGTATTAATTATATAGCTATCATGGTTAGAAAGTTCAGTATCCATTAAAGGACAGATGAATACAGCAGAAAAGACTCTGGAAGGAGCTCCACCCTGTGGCCATCTCATTCGTGGGGCAGGTTTCATCTCAGTGCAGCTGAGATGCACTGAGAAAACATCATGAATCGGACCCTTTTCTGTTAGCACTGTGCAAATAATCAGTTTGACATGGGGACAGCCTTCAACGGAAAAGTAAAACATCAAGAAGAAAATACACAACAGCACCCTCATAGCGCAAGCCAAGACCTCCTAGGCAGGACATAAATTCATTCACACTAAAGAATCTGTAAAAATCACAAACTGCTCTTCGCCTATAGGCACCACTGGAAGAGAACAACACAAGCCAGAAACTGGACGAAAATGCTTCCCATGTGTGCCCCTGGATGTAGAAAATGCCTCACATCACGAAGAGAAATTAAACCCATTTTTAAGAATGCTGATACACTTGAATTGGCAGTTCATGGAAGAAGACAATCAAATGAGCCCAAGCCTCTACCAACGTCCTCATTAACGACCAGAGGTGTGTAAATCAAAACCACGATGAGATACCGCAGCACAAGGCCTAGACCGGCAAGAATCTGAAAAAGCACAAATCCAAGTCGTACTTGCTACACTAAAAGCTATTTGGCTCCTTCCACTGAAGCTTTTAGGATGCTGACTTCAGGGTGCTGGGCTCTGGCTGCGCGTCCGGGCCGCGCTGTGGTCTCCCGATCGGTCCGGCTTTCCGGCTGGGCCTCCAGCCCCTTGAGAGTGGGTGCAGAACCCGCTTCCCTGCCATGCGCGAAAAAATTCTGCACAGTCGCATTCTGTCCCACTGCAGCTGCTGGCCTGGCTGCAATGACTCAGGGGCAAGGCGATTCATTCCATGCCTTTTGCGGGGACACAGGCCTCACTACCTGCCTAATAAAAATTAATTAAAAAAGAAGGATCTGAGAGGGACTTTCTGAAGCTGTTGTCATTCATGGGGTCAAAAAGAAAGCTCAAGGGAGCAGAGTCTCAGGAAGGTGCCTGATGCAGGGACACTTGAGCCCTGGCCAGGACCTGGGTCTGAAGGTCCCACCAGGGAGAGGACATGGTCCCCGGGAAGTTAGGGGCTGAGGATGAGGTGCAGGCCCTCGCAGGGAGAGGGGTGACACCTCAGTGTCTGGGGCATGGAGTCAGAGGACCAGCAGCGAGGGGACAAAGGTGTGAAACAATTCGGTCTTTCTGCCCCACGGTCATCCAATGCTGTCACTACAAGGACAACATTAGCAAAGAAAAACCAAAATAATGCTGGGGCAAAGACTAAAAGTGACAGAGAGACGGTGCATTCTGCACCCGGGTGGAGCGGAGTCCAGTATGAACAGGTCTCACCACTTTATGCGGATGACTGCATCACACTCAGTCTGATAGAAATCACTTTACTTTAAGTGTGCTTATAGTGACAGTGATTCAGCTGAGCATTAAGATGCTCTACTACATTCTCATAGGCTAATCAGCTCTGGCCATTTATTACTTGTTAAGGACACCTCAGATGTCACATTTACATGAAAATTACTTAATCAATTTCCCAGTAGATTAGGAAAAATGGGTATTATCAAGAGAAGATAACAGGTATGTGTGTAATCAGATTTCTCCACAGACATTCTGATTGAGTTGCTCTATGGTCTGTGCCAGTGATAACAAAATCAATGAGAGAGAGAGAGAGAGAGAGAGAGAGAGAGCAATTTTTATCCTATTATCAGAAATCCCTGCATAAATTGCTTGCTTTACAGACAAGACAATTCCCAATCATTTAGAGCAGCAAGACTTTCCCTTTACGGAGAGGCAGTTCACACACTGTCAATGGCCCTCTTCACCTTTCCCTCCAGACTGAGGGGGGCAGCATCTTACAAGTGGGCGGTCTACATACCCTGCTGGTACCACCAAGACCTTCTGTGGCAAGCACAACAGCAGGGAAGTGGTGTGCATTTGTGACTACTCTGAGTAGCACTTTAGACTTAGCTCCCAGCTGGGAATTCAGCTGACCTCACTTCTAATGCAGACACAATGAACCCAGACTCAGAAATGTGACCCAAGCCACGCCCAGGGGGTAAGCTCCCACAAGCCGTTATTTGCAGTGTTCAGGCCACTAAAGGGTGATGACAGAGCAGGAGAGGTGATCTCTAGGGCACTCACGTAGATCTGGTTGTTCCCAAAGCGCTTCTGAATTTCGTAGAGCAGGCTGCTGTCGTTGAGCTCACTCAGTGTGGCCAGGTCATCATTGGGAGCAGGTGGCATGAGCTTGACCTGGGGAAAATAAGTGTGGTCAGCTGTGATTGCTTTCCAGTCAACTTTCTGCACAGTTGGAAATTCTAGTTTTCTTAACATGTCAAAAGTTTGCAGACCACCCGAGTATGAAAGCGTTACTAAAGGACGAAATGGTTCAGTGAGAATGACAAAAATACGCAAAGCCACTGAACAATGCACTCAGATGGGCACTGGTGCTTTCTGCCCCCAGTGTACACAGGCCTGCAGCCTGAACACCACCCGACACTCAAGGTCATCATGTCCGCCAAGGTCAGTCCTGCACACTGACTCTTCCCGTTCCTATCTATAATTCAGGCAGCTTCGCGCTGTCCTGAGCCCCCTGGCAGGCACAGCTGCCACACACAGGGGCTTGTCCAGTCCCCAAAGCCCAATTCTTCCTGCTCACACTGCTTCGATGGCAAGGCAGGAAGTGTCAGCCTCTGTGCTCACGGAGGACGGAGCCAGATCTTCACATCAGACTCCAGAACTTTTGCCTGTGATTTTCATTCTGTTCAACACTACTCTTAGGATGAAAGTAGCTGTGAGATTCGGAGAATTGTCATAAGCTTTCTCACTCAACTGAACAGTGACAGAGTTTAAAATTGGGCAGTGTTTCAAACAGAATGCAGGCAAAATTGTATCCTTTAAATAGACAGAAATGAGCAAGGCTTCATTTTATGGACACGGGATCTGCTCTGAAAAGCAGACATTTCCCATGAGTACCAGTTCTCTTACGTCAGTCACAGGACAGCAAAAGAGCAAGACTATTCCTATCAACATCCTGTGAGTTCACAGGCGCCACGATAAAAATTAATAACAGCAAGTCTTTTGTATTCTTCCTATTCTTGTTTGCTTCCTACATTTACATTTTCTCTGTACTTGTGCCATATGTTACATTATTAATTGCATGTATCGTTGCTCAATAATTTAAACAAATATTACTGTTTATCAATGAAATATTTGCATAGTGAAAATTACACCTTTAAATATTAAAGCTAGGATTAATTTCCTGCTATTAGTGAATATCTCACAAAGTTAAATCTTTCACATGAGTTCCTAAGTCAGCCCATCATTTCTCAGCTGTCCCTCTCAGCAAAGGAATGACAGAAGAGCAGATCGTGTCCTGGGTATGCAGCTCGGGGCCGTGGTACGCATTCCACTCAAAGGTGCCATGGGTGGGTCTCCTGGCATTGGGGGTACAAGTGTTTCTCTAGGCAGGAAAATAATACCCCAGGGGTGGCATGCTTACTTATTTAAAAACTAACTCGCACAATATTCTGATGTTAGAAATGCCAAGGACAAGCTCTGCCACACAACAGCCGAGCAGCCAGACATCTCAAGGGTTATCACTTCCTCTGCTCTGCAACAATTAAAAGAAACATCTGCCGAAGTATCTCACAAATGTAACCAACACAAAGCAGATAACACAGCCTTATCAGAATTACTTAATAGTGACTTCCTATAATTGGTTAATATTAACATAGTTTTGGAGTTTAGAGGCATCCACTTAAATAGTTCCGGAGTAGTGTGCCAGGATGGGCACTTTTTGAAGACAGAAACAGAAGTCACAATGGTCCCAGCTTTCTTAACTATTTCCTGGGTTTTCAGGACAACTGAGGGATTATATGAAATCAGCTTCCTAACCTGATAACATAGTTTACTATGAAGATCTTTTTAGGCACAGGAAGTGGCTTGGGAAAGGACAAGAAATTTGGCCCAGCTGCTAGGCCACACTTCCTGTCTCCAGGCTGTGTCCTTGGCCCTCATCCATGATGCTAATGTGTGAACACCCCAGACCAGCTGCTCCTCTTGGCCCTAAGAGTGAAAACTAAGAGCAAAATAAAAGACAGATGCTAGGAAACAGGGAGACAGATCTTTCTCAAAGGGCCAAGAGATGGAGGAAGGAGGAAGAGGAGAGAAAGGAGCCGTAGAGGAACAGAAATGTGTTCTGCACAGGCACCGACTCCCCACCAGGCCTGTCATGATTACGTGCTGTGAACATGCCCTTATACAAACAAGAACACAAAAACTCGTCCAGTCAAAGCCATGGGTCCTTCACGCTCTGGCATAAGCCCCGCTATGCCCTTCCTGGCTGGGCGCGCTGGAACATCCTCTGTCTTAACACCAGGCAGCCGGCCTGACCTCTCAGCACCAGGACATGTGGTAAGTAACAGTGTGGACAGCTGGTGGTGAGAACGACGACGACTTGGGGGCCTCAGCCTGGCACCTGCTCTGCAGCCAAGTGTGGGTCCCTGGGGTTGCTTGTCACACACTGAGAAATGACCAGGGCACCACCGAGCGGCTCTCCAGCCCCCCGGGGGCTTCCTGGCTAGCACGCAGCCTGACACGTCTGGTTTGGTCTGTTTATCTGTGGACACAGACTGCTCCAGCTGCGCTGGGCATGACTGCGCGTGCCTGTAACCCCAGCGTGCTGACGGGCTGAGCAAGAGGAGGACCACGAGTGAGCCACTTAGGGACTTAGCAAGACCTAAAACTAAAACTAAAACTAAAAACTAAGGGGAAAAAAATAAAGGTGAGTGTGTGAGGAGAGAGCTGGAATGTACGGCCCTGTGAAGGTCCTGGGTTCGTTCTTAGTGCCATGGGAAAAGGCAAACACTGCTGGTCCACACTGACGTGCGGTGAGGAAGACCACACTGCCACCAAGGCAGGACCAGGAAGCACCTGGACTTGGGGCAAGAAATGGGACTGGACTCTGAATACAGCCCGGCCGGGAGAAGGCTGGCTGAAGCCAAGGAGCAGGACAGGCCGGGGAGAGGAGGCACCAGGGCTGAGAGGGGCTCCGGCGAATCCATCCTGGCAGGTCCTCAGCGAAGAACCAAGGTGAGCAGAAGTCACAGAGGCGAGGGCAGGGGACGAGGAAGCCTGGCAGATGCTGAGTTCGACCACATTGGAACCTTGGGCCCTCTGGAGAAATCTGGATTTACAGGGAAGCACGCAGATGGCCTGAGAGGAGGTCCACAAGGCCGGCCACGGGCGGCAAGCACAGAGCCCAGGACTGCGCTGCCCTCAGCACAGATGCCCGGCTTTTCCTCTGCCTTAAAAAATCAGTTCCCTTCCACGTGTGACTTCTGGGGAAGTTTCTCCCACTAAATAATACTTTCTGAAATTCTGATATTCGTGGGAGTTGCTCCAAGTTCTTTGCTAGTGGGTGAAAGCCTTCCCAGGGCCTCAGCTGTTGAGCAGGAAGCAGAAACTAGGATGGACAGGAAGTTCAGGGGAGGATAGGGCTGCTACCACAGGCGCAGTTGTTTGCCAGGTTTCCTTGTTCCTCTATGGGCATCTAGGCACTGAATTAGTGACTTTTGTTATGAAATGAAAATAAGCCTTGGACCTCGGAGTCTTTCCAGTTGAGAAGCAAGGGCCTGAGGTAGAGCTTCGAAGCCCAGAGAGTGCTGGAGTGGAAAGAGGGAGCCCAGCAAAGCTCTGCTTTAGCTCAGTGATGGTGTGTGTGGGGGGGTGAGTGTCCCCTCCAAGAAGCCCTCACGGAAGGCGAAACTGGGAAAAGCCTGGCAACGCTGTCCTTTGGGGTGCAGGAGGAAACTGTCACGGAAGAGGAGAGAACACAGGAGGCCCTGAGTCGGAAGCAGGGAGGAGCCAAGAAGCCTGGGGCTAAAGGAGGCAGCAAGGGGGTTCAAGGTCATGGAAGGCACCGCAGGCGGGGTGAAGACCGGCTTCAGGGACAGCGCCTGCAGAGGGGCGCGGTGGAAGGGGGACACTGGCTAGCCAATTCCAAGCCCGGGAGGCCCCAGAGGGAGGCGGGAGGGGAGAGGAGCACATGAGTCTGAGGAGGTCAGCAGCTGCAGGCGACACCGGGCAACCGGCCTTGTTGTGCACCTGTCCCTTCTATCCCCTTAGATGCTGGGTCAGACTCCTGCTTAGCCGCCCAGGAGCGTGTCAGTCGTTTAGGAAGTGGTGGACTGTCTGGAGACAGGGACAGCCCTGTGGGGATGAGGCCCGTTCTCCCTCCCTATGAGTCTGGACCCATCTTCTCTAAATTCTTACGTTTGGACCTTTACCACCCCTGCCTCACAGGACAACCCTCCCCATCCAGTCACTGGGGTACTCGCAGTACCTGCAAGAGCTTCGTCACCAAGAGGCTGCCAGCTGTTGCAGGCCCAGGAGTGATGCCTCCATGTCACCAGGCCTCGCCCTAGACCCACACCTGCCAGGAACCGTGGAGCTTGCTGGCAGGCAATTGTGACACAAGGCTGCTCCCAGAAACAGGGTCTCTCAGAGGGGCCTGCTGCACTGCACTGTGCTCCGGCAAGCAATGCTGACTTCCCCAGTGTCCCAGAACCACAGGTGCAGACCACGGTTGGACCCAGATGGCTGTCGTTCTTTCTCGCCCTGCGCCCCTATAAAACCTTGTGTTCCTGGGAGCCCTGAGACAGCGCTGAGGATGCCTGCCCCCTCCCTGCCCTTGTGTTCTCTACTGAACAAATCCCACTCCTGTCTTTCACCATTACTGTCCCCATCTTGCTTCTGGAGGGAGTGGTCAGACTTGCCTTGTCGGAAGAACCCGAAGTCAGATCCTGCTGGCCTAGGACTCAGGCAAGCAGGGTATCCAGAGAAAGACCAGTCAGGACACTCAGCCCTGAGCTGCCACACCGCACCTGGTTCCCGACTTGGGGTCAATCTGGACAAGGCTGGGGTGTTCCTGCACTGATGGGTAATGTAACTGATGGGCACCGTGGACTGGAATGCTTGACTTGCATATAAAAAGGCTCTTGAAAAATACTCGCAAGGGTCAGGGATTTAGCTCGGGGTGCCGCTGCTTGCCTCACGAGCACAAGGACCCAAGTTCGATCCCTGGTACCAAAAAAAAAGACAAATTCTCTAATGGGCAAGGCTGCGTGTTCCAGAAGGGCAACACCCATCGTCAAAAGTCTTACATAGAGAGATATGTGAGAGGAGACTATATTATCAATTTACGGGTAGATGTAAGTATCTTTTCTTTCTAATGTATTTGCAAACATTATCCCAAAGAATTAAAATTTAGGCATCTCATGGATGCCTCAAAGCTAACAATGTAGTATGTGTACATATTTATTTAGGCACAAATATTAATATGCCTGTGTCATATGCATGAATATATAATTAATAATATGATTGTAGTAACGTTGAACAATGCAAAAATGGCCAAAATATACAGCAAGCTGGCATAACTATTGAAATTCCAAAGCAGTCTGGAAGCAGAGAAAAATCAAGAGCAAGATGCTTTTCTTCAACGGAAATGATTTACACTAAGAGAGTAAAGTTCTTCTCACAACCACATCGCTAATGATGCCAGGGCCATTTTCTGCCCCCGCAGTCAGAAGAAGCAATGGCAACGACAGGTGTTGGCATTTGCTCTGAGGAGGCTGGGAGGACACGCAGGGTCTCTCCTTGCTGTTCCCACAGGGTCTCCTCCCCACTGCCACAGCTGCTGTGTGGACAAGAGAAATATGGGGCTGACAGCCAAGTGCGACCGCCCCGCCCAGCCTGTTTATAGTAAGGCAATGCCAAAACAGTGGGGCACAACAGGGGAGGTTTCCTGGCACTGACCGAATCACGCCAGGACTGCAAAGTGCTCAGAAGGAAGCTCTGATCAGCAGCGTTAAGCAGGGTTGTCCCAGGCACAGATTCTTTATGAAGATCTCAAAGGCATGTTGGCCGCAGGCAGTGAGCACCAAGGAGGAGGGAGCTGTCTGACTGGTTTTATGTTGTAACTGTAGGGTGAGTACTGCACAGGACAAATGTCTACCATCAGATACGATAGTCTAAGCCAGTATCCTATAAAAAAGCTTTCAGAGGGCTGCATATCTCCTCAGGACTGACCTTTATGTTTTATTATTTTATATATATTTGTCCAAAAGGAACAATCTGAAACATAAAACGGACATAATTCACAAGATACTGAAAAACTTGAAAGTGCTTTGAGAAATGTTTCAAGGTCTGAGGAAATTTGTTCCAGGACTACTGTAACCCCCGCTGCACTTGCCTCCGCTCCTAGAAGGCTGCTGGCAGCACTGCTGGGTTCACTGCTCTGGTCTGCTTTGTCTGCTGATGATTTTTCTCTCTGGGAGATGGAGCAGACACCCAGGGAGCAGCTCCTTGCTCATTGGGCAGCAGAGAAGCCTGACCCGGGGGTGAGGGCAGCAGGACAGGGGATCCCAGTGTAGGGGAAGCTACAGAATCAAGCATGGCTCAACGGGAAGGGAAGAGGAAGTTAGATGACAACACTGGGTGACCTTGGTCCTAGCAGGACAGAGCAACAACGGGACAAGTTCCATCTGAGCCTCCCGAAGCTCACACACGGCCCTGCTGAATGCATGGCCCTGTCACAGGCCCACCCTCCTCCTGCTTCTTAGCTGTGTTTCTTGGTGACCTTGCCAGGCCCTGTGGCTTGCTAGTCCCTCTCTTGGCTGAGGAAATACAATTGAACACACACCTTGTGTGGAGAGGAGCAGACCAGAACATAAGGGGAGAGGAGGGGAAATGTGTATTTTTAAGCAGCAAAAGAAAACTTCTCTTTTCTCAGAGGCATTATGAAAGCAAATCCTATTCTCACTGATTCTCAGAAATGTTTTTAAAACGTTGACTCAAACCTTGAATCTCCATCTGCAGACACCATTTGAGAAGACTCACATGCTACAAAACTTTGGGAGCAAAGATGCTCATTGGTTTATATTTTGATTAAAATTTTTTTCCACATTATGAATGTCTCTGTAAAATGTGACTCAGAACTCTGTAAGCTTCAGAAAGTCTGCTCCAAGGCCCCCTGTGACCGGGGAGCGGGGAGCCTAGCATAGTCGGTCCCTGCACTGCGTCACCCAGAGGGACCCACCTATGTCTCCTGGCCAAGGCTGTGCGGGTCTGAGGCAAATGCAGCAGCCCGAGGCCTCGGACGCTGCCATGCCCTCCACGGGACACATGACCACCTCGCCCTCACGGTTGTTTCCGTGTCTAAGACACGAGGTGAAGCGCTGACATTAACAGCAGAAAAGCAGCCCTGCCAGGGCCTCACGTGATGCCGACAAGCTGTGATGGTCCTCTCACTTCTGAAGAATGCTTTAGATTTTCGGAAAATACTGTGTTGAGTTAACATTGAAAAACAATCATCTTGCCTGTTTGGAATTATTTTTGTCTCCAGGAGGTGAAAATCTAAGTACCTTAATGGAAGATCTGAGCCAAATTTGCTTATCTTTCCTTAAATACACAATTATCTTTGAACTTCTGCTGAACTTAGACAAATAAGTGAGAGCTGAAGGGCACATCAATGGAAACATAAAATAAATCCAGAAATAAGAATTCACTACAAATCATGCAATGGCTCTACTTGTATCAGAAAGTGTTTTTTTTTAAATGTTGACAAATCTCAACTGTAGAATATCAAATTAACTTTAGAGTTTCCACAAATTTTTATAAACTAATTAAGAGAAGTATTTCAAAACAATGTCAATAAGAACGAAAAACAAAAAGAACATTTTAAAGTTTTCTGTATCTAAAGCAATCTAAATTAAATTAAAATTTAATTTGGAGAGCACCGTGTTTAGAAACTCTAGCTGAACTAAAATATTCAGAATTAGAGACCCTGAAAGAAAATCATTTCGAAGATGCAGATTACACTGGCATTTACAAGACACAATTTATAAAATCACTTATTTCTGAGCAATGAAAAAAGAGAACACACTCACTTCTGTTATCCCAACCTCATCAGCCTGCCAGCTCCAAAGTGGTCTCTTTTAACCTCAGCATGGTGCTCCATGCTTGGAGTGCACATGCGCGTGCACACACACACACACACACACACACAGTGTGCCACCATAGTTACTTATTTCTAAGTATAATGGCTGTCAGTGGCTCATTCTTTTTCTGGCCTGCATTTGGATAGTTGGGGGAAACAGAAAAGCAGACTACCTGATGTGCAAAATAATGACAAAGGACTTAACGGGAAAAGTGTGAGAAGTAACAACAAACTGGATGAGCCTATGTTCCTGGCATGGAGGTGAAATCCAAAGTGGTGCAAAACGCAGTAGCAATTACATTTGTCATGATGAGCACAGTGCACTCTCTAATAATGGGAACTGTACGCGAAACGGTAACCCATGCATTCCTCAGTTTTTCTCTGAATGGACTGAGTGAACGTTTGCTTCTGAAACATGCTGGAGCATCAGCGGGACAGCACATGGAAGAATACCGCAGCCGTGAGCGACTGATTACCTGCTCGGGTTTGCTGCAGCCGTTCGCCGTGGCACGCTCAGGGGTGGTGTCCGGGGACTGCTGCCTGCACTGCCCTTTGGTCACATCTTTGAACATGGTGTCCTTTTCCAACAAGCTGTCTTGCTTGGCTATGGGTAGCACCAGGGGGCTGGTACAGGAAACAATCAGTACCATGATTAGTGTTCTTCTAACATGATCATATCAGGCAAAAGCTGCAGGATAGCTGGGTGCTACAGTGGTGGTCTATTCAGATAACAGTTTCTAGAAACTGTAGGAGAAAATAACAACATAGAATCTGTGAAGTTTTCTATTAATACCACATTTCATTCATTCACTTGGGCTTCTAAGAAAAAAAAATCACATTCATTTAAGCTCCAGAAGAAAATGTTTACATATTTAATTGTAAGAGACAAATCAATGAGTGATTTAAAAGCTACGTTTGAAATGCATGACTGAAATAATCAAGATATTTAAATGTAAAAAACAGATAGAAAACAAGTGAAGAAATGTGTAATCATGTATTCAGTTAAAATATGATTCGTTGAGGATATAAAATACAGAACTATGGGCAATATTTAAGCTTATAGTGGAAATAACAATAGTAATATAAGAACTAGAAAAATGTTTAAGGATTGAAATTTGTTACTTGCACACAGCTCAAACTAGGCAAAAATAAATAAAAGCTAGTTCATCTTAGTCTTCTATAAAGTACAATGCCATAAGAAAGACATTATTTTATAATGTTCATCAAGAACAAACACAATTTAAATGTCAAATTGGCATTGTAATACTTTACTATAGGATGCAAAAATGTATTCCCCAAATGTTTTCATACAAGCAGAAATGCACGCACATGTAATCAAGTCAACATATGTAAACATAATTACTTCCTGCAGTTTACAGCACCAATTATGATTCTAATTAGAGCTCAATGCAATTGTTTGCTTTTTTAAATTTAAAGGCTATTGAGGTCAAATTTATATAAGGTAATATATCCCCTTTCAAGACTTATACTTCAACGATTTTTGCCAAAATTTTCATAGCTTTGTAACCAAAATAACCATGAGTTATTTTTTGTATACCATTTGTGCCCTCTGGAATCCATTATCAGTTGTTTTAGTGGCTCTTAAATGTAGTGTGAATTGAATTTTTAATTATTTGCTAAATACAAATTGAATATATTGCAGGTGTCCAACATGGTGGTGGATTACACGCATGCTGACACCCACGGCCACACTGAAGAGCATGCGTGACCACCAGGGACACCAGACCCCGGGAACCTGACCATCTTTAACAAAGTTTGGACCACTGCCCCACATCTTCCCATCTCTGGCACCGACTTCTATACTCTTGCTCCATGAGTTTGGCTTCTCTAGACTTCCCACATGCATGAAGTCCTGCAGGGTTATTCTTCTGTGTCTGGCACATTTCACTTAGCATAGTGTCTTCCAGGCTCAGTCATAGTGTAAGCAAGACTTTTTTGGTGACTCAACAATGCCGCATTGTGTATATCTGCCTCAATTTCTCTGCCCATCCAGCCGCTGGCTGCACCTTGGATGGCTTCGTTCTCTTGGCTGCCATGCATAATGCCAACATGAACACCAGGTACAGGTGTCTCTTCGTCCTGACTTCGCCTCTCTCGGCTACATGCTGCTGGGTTACATGGTAGACCTGCTTCTCCTTTTCGAGGCCCCTCCATCCTGCTTTCCACAGTGCCCGTGCCTATTTACATGCCCACCCCCAGGTTACACGGCCGCTCTCTCCTCAACCCCCACCCACATTTACCACCGCTTACCTTTCTGACAAAAACCATCATGCCAGGCGGTGGGGTGGGGTGGTGATATCGCCTGTGCCTTTGATTTGCACTTATTCGCTGGTTAGTGGTGTTGAGCACTTTCTCATAAAACTATTGGCTGACCACTGGTGCGCCTTCTGTGGGAGCCTGTCTATTTAGGTTGAATGCCCATTTCTAATCAGATGATTTGAATTTTTGCTGTTGCGTCGTGTGAATTCTTTGCAAGTTGGGAATGTTACCCTTGAACATATATATGGCTCACACCTGTTTTTACCAGTTCTGTAGGTTGGCTTCCAATGTTGATCATGATGGATTTCTTTGCTATGCAGAAGCTCTTTAGTGTAACATCGTCCTAGTGTAAGATCCAAAAACATTATCACCAAGACCAAAGATACGAAGTTTTTCCTCAAAGTTTTCTTTTATCCATTTCAATTTAAATTTTGTATGGCTATAAGTCAAAGTCCTGATTTCAATCTCCTGCACATAGATACCCAGTTTTCCCATCACCATTTAGTGAAATACCTATCCTTTCCCCTGCTGAGTTCCAGGGACCCTTGTGAAGACACAACTGACCATGTTGGGTTTATTTCTGGCCAGTTGCTGTTGCTCTCTGTTCTTATGCCAGCATCACCCTGACCTGATTTCTACAGCTTGTACTTCAGTGTCCACAGGAGACTGTCACACAGCTGTTAACAGTAGCACTAAGTAATGGAAAAAGATCACTATACAAAGTGAATGCTTGTAATGATTATAAAAGCTCATATCCAGGTCTACTTAATACTAGTAAATAATAATCAATTGATAACTTTCAAAGAGTTCTTATTTCTTCTTATCCACCCTGACTCATGTTCCTCATTTTTAGTTCCTAGGAGTGTGGCCTAAACTGCTTTGACACAGGAGCCCCTCAGATGGATGGTCATTGTGTCTTCCCTGTTTTTTCTTTTATGTGAATGAGCCATCTGTGAAATGCCCTAGTGGTTACTCGGCGCTTCACATGGGACCGTCTCTGTCCTCAGCACTCAGCATGTGTTAACTCTGTTGTAGGAAGCACAGCATGATGTATGTGCTATTTTATGCCCATTCTGATGCACACTGAGTACTTATTGATCATGGAAAAGGTTATTCAAAGATCATTTTTAAAACTAAAATGCAATTATGCTTATAGGACAAGATTCAATGAAGGAGGAATGCATCAAAGACAAGAAAAACATGTGCCAAATGAGGGGTAATTTCATGAGCACGGTGGACCAACAACCCAGAGTCTTAGCATCCTCCTCAGTGCCCCAGGACTTAAGACTGGCTTCTCCCAACTCCTGGCCCCTGATTTCGTTTTCCTACAGCACCAACTCTAGAAAACTCGTCAGTGGGAATTCTTTGAGATATTTCCTTCTCCCAGCCTCTTCCAAGTCTCCAGACTCAGGAGAGACCTGGGAGCCACTCTATGAGATGTGAGCATGGAGGAGAATGTTGGACACGGGAGGCCACCTAGATAAAGGCCCACGGCCAGCCTCTTCCTGTGGCGCTTCTCATGGGCCCCTGATAGTCTTGTCCCGCCACAGCCTTTGATAAAGACTTCCTTCTCTTCTTCCCTTTCCTGCTGCAACTGTTCTGTGAGTGAGTTTTTTCATGCTTCTAGGCATAGTCTGTATTTCCCAAATTTTCTTCAATGAGACTTTACCTTGATTATACAAAATTATTGGTGATAGAAATTTATCCAATGAGAAACACAAAAAGTAGGACTGAAATAGGGTATTTTCTGAAAGCCTCCACAGACATAATGCAGAAGAAACAGCCGAAATGAAAGTGGGGGCCAGGGAGAGGAGACGTGGCAGGGAAGCGCACCAGCGGACAACGATGTCTGAGCTCTCCCGGACATAGCCAAGACTTCCTCGTTCTGATAAACATAAACAGTGTTTCAGGTAGAGCGAACAAGCCTGCAGAAAACAGGCTTTTACTTTTGACAAGGGGAAAAGGAAAATAATAAAATGAAACTAAGACTGACAACAATCACTGCTCATTATAACTAAAGCGATTTTAGAACACTGCAGAGATGAAATAAGATTGACTCTGTGGAGATAGGTTGGGCTGACAATCACAACCACGGAAAACATTGAACGGAAACAAATGCAAAGACACTGCATTCGTGACTGAGATATTTTGGTGCTTAGAGGAAGGGACTGAGCGCATCTCTCTCAGTGTTCAGTCCTGGAGACAGAACCACACAGACAATGTACTCCAGAGAATTCCATTAACCTGCTGGAGACCATTTATTATTAACGTTAAGTAAGACAGATCTCGGAGACACTTGAATTAATTGCTATACTTCAACTCTCCCAGAATTAGTTTCATAACAGAAAACAAATGAGATATTGTTAGGCTGACAATCACAACCACGAAAAACATTGAACGGAAACAAATGCAAAGACACTGCATTCGTGACTCAGATATTTTGGTGCTTAGAGGAAAGGACTGAGCGCATCTCTCTCAGTGTTCAATCCTGGAGACAGAACCACATAGACAATGTACTCCAGAGAATTCCATTAACCTGCTGGAGACCATTTATTATTAATGTTAAGTAAGACAGATCTTGGAGACACTTGAATTAATTGCTATACTTCAACTCTCCCAGAATTAGTTTCATAACAGAAAACAAATTTACAATTTAAAGACCACTTTGGCAAAGTGGTTTACCAAACAAATACAGCTCTATATCAAATGGCTGCACAGAGTTTGTATTGTTTTTGAGACAATTTATATTTATCTCATCAGTCCTTCACATATATCTTCAAAGAAATTTTAAAATTATCAAATCTAAGTGACTTCAGGTAACAGAAGTTTTCATTTCATCTCTAGCTCATATTTTCCATGCCATCTGCCAACGTAGTGTTCACCTCACCTCTAAAATGCCCAGGAAGAGCTTCGCTGTGGAGCATCTCTGTGTCTTGGGTCTCTCCTGGCCAATTCTGTTTCACACACTTAGGGTGGCGTCCCATAGCCTAGCTCTGCCCTGGGGAAATGACAGCTTTCCCTGGGGGAGCCGGATGCAGTCCTTCCAGTTAATGACACGTGACAGGTCTGGGCTGACTGAAATATCTCTAAATTAAAATAAGTTTAATGGAAACACTTTATGCAGGGAGTTTCTGAAAGTTTCCAGTGTTGGCTTTCCTGGAAATGACCCCTTAAATGTACTATTCTAGCCCTTCTTCTATTTCTTTCTCTCTACTACTAGACCACAGAATTCCCTTCCACATGAGAAGTCTTAGGAAATTAATTGTCAGTTTTGTGAACACTCTGGAATTATAATCTGCATAATTGTAGCAATACAGTTGTAATATTTGATTAGCAAACAGGGTGGATAATTTATAGCACTTACTACTAAATGAAAAATACATATATTAAATAAGGTATTAGGTATGTTTTGTAATCTGCAGGGCAATATATAAACATGCATTTTTATTGCTGAAATAACTATCCATTATTTATTTTCTCAAAATAGTAACATGAAATGAAACCACAAAAGAAATTTTACGCTAGACTTCCAAAATTCTAACAAAAGTAAAATGTAAGTTGGGGACACTTCCAGTCTGAAAGAGGGCTTTGCTAGTGATTATGTGAAACAAGCAGGCACAAAGTACTTCGGACCAAACCAGGGCCCGTGTCACCTATGAGAACTCTCTCCTGAGCGTGATGGATTAAAAGGACAGATGGGTCATAAAACCGTTTCGGAGAGTTGAAACACACTGGGGAGTTACAGTCCAGCCTGACATCATTTTAACATTCTGAGAACGTGTCGTTCGGTTGTCACTGCGGGAATGTCACAGAGTCCTTACCCTGATGAAGATGTCTACAATGGCATCATCTTACGGAACCACGGGGCATTGGCACACGTGGCCCATGCTGAATGACACATCAGCATGCAGCGCGTCACTGAACTACCAAGACCACAACTTCTCTGGTCCGCAATTCTGAGATTATGGAGCAAGGATCAAGACACCTGAGAGGCTGGTACTCAAAGGGACATGCAGCTTAGGTGCTCCAAGTCCCAATACCAGCCGCTGTTCCGTGAGGCTGCACAAATGGGAAACCAGGCACAGGATTTTCAGGAACTGGATTTTTGTTCTTCTCACAAAACAAGAGAACCAGAAGCAGCAACCTGGGCTGGTGGTGACCTTCTCAAGTAGAACTTCCGGGGCTTTGGTTGGCTCTAGTTTCCCATTCCGCCATTCTGAGAGAGTTATCCCATCCTATGCTTGCAGGATCACTTACCAGCTCCATAGAGCACATTCATGCAGCAGGCAGGGAGAGAACAGAAGGACAAAAACAGTATGCTAACTAGGTAAACCTGTTCCTTTTAATCAAGAAAACAGCACCTCTTCTGGAGGCCCTACCCAGTTGGCTTTGTTAGAAACAGCAAATAAAGGTGCCATCTTTGGCATATGCTTATATTAAATCATTGTTTTCACATTGAAAATTCAAACTGAGTTGGGTGTCTTGACTCTTAACTGACCACTCTATACTCCAGACCCATACATTTCAGTGGCCAGTACAGTGGCTACTAGGGTCAGAAACTATGTGGCCCCCAAATTTACATGCTGACACCGAATTGCCAAAGTGACAGGTCTGAGCAGGGCAGCCATGACGGTGGAACCCCAGGAATAGGAATCAAAGCCCTGAGAATAGGTGCCTGGGGAGCTGCTCGTCCTTCCACCACGTGAGACACACTGCAAGGAGTCACCATCTGCGAGGTTCAGGGTGTTTCATTACAGGAGTCTGCACAGCCCAAGGCTGGAGCCTCTGGCCAGTGCCCTCTTCAGAGGCTGAGGCTGCAAGTACTTAAGTGGGTGCTTTCCATTCCAAACACAATGGTGGTCCTACAAGGAAGAGAAAGAAGAAACTGGATGCTGCGTCCCTAATGGGATGACAGCTGAGCTGACACAAGAACCTGAGCACTGCTTGGCTGAGGGCCTCCTGGCGGTGACAGTGCCTTGGGTTTTCTGAGCAGCAGTTGGAGGGCCCAGTATTGCAGTCTGGATCTTGACTGTTCCTCAAGTCCACGTATTAAAGGCTTGGTCTCCAGTTTGGGTCTGCTGGGAGGTGGTGGAGACTTTAGGAGCTGAGGCCCAGGAGGGGTCTTTAGGTCACTCTGGTGGTGTCCCTGAAGGGGACCCTGAGAGCCGGCCCTTCCTCTTCCTCTCTTTGGCTTCTTGGCCATGGAGTGAGCAGCGTTGCTCTGCCAAGTCCTCTAGCCCTGATGGGGTTGCCACGAGTCCAGAGCGTTGGGGCCAGCCATGGATTGGAACCTCTGTGACCGCGAGCCTCTCTTTGCGAGTTTAAAGGCACTTGGATATCCTGTTATAGTGATGGACAGTAGGCTCACAAGAGAGCCTTTGCAAGTGTGGGTCCAGAACCAATGACTTCAGGTAACAGAAGTTTTCATTTCATCTCTAGCACATATTTTCCATGCCATCTGCCAATGTGGTATTCACCTCACCTCTAAAATGCCCAGGAAGAGCTTTGCTGTGGAGCATCTGTGTCTTGGGTCTCTCCTGGCCAATTCTGTTTCACACACTCAGGGTGGCGTCCCATAGCCTAGCTCTGCCCTGGGGAACTGACAGCTTTCCCTGGGGGAGCCGGATGCAGTTCTTCCAGTTAATGACACGTGAGAGGTCTGGGCTGACTGAAAGTCATCAGCACTGGGCCAGGCACTCTCCACACCTACACAGTGCAGGACCGAGGAGCAAAACTCTACTCCTTCATCCACACCACAGGCTCCCTGGGCCTCCAAGATGCCACCAGCAGGTAGCAGTGCAAAGCCCTGGAATCCCCATCCTTGGGGTCTTCTTGCTCTATTTTATGTAAGTAGTGGGCGGCATTGTTGGTCTTTCCTCAGATGTACATGGACCATGCTGATGTTTGCTCACCTACTTGCAAGTTTGTGCTTGGGGTTTGTTGTTGTTGTTGTTGTTGTTGTTTTTCACTTTTTAAATTTTTTTGGACCAGGGACTCAACCCAGGACCTTGTTCTGTGCTACATCCCAAGCCCCTTTTTTATTCTGAGAAAACACTATGTTAAGTCATTCAGTTGCTCAAGCTGGGCTCAAACTTCAATTCTCCAGCTTCAGCCTCCTAAATAGCTGGGATTATAGGCATGTAGCATTGTGCTGGGCTCTCTACAAAAGTTTTATAGTTGTCCACTTTCTCTTGTTTGCTGAAGATTTACCACTGCAGATCAAAGCACACTGACTTGAGAAACTTTGGGAACTATCCACAATTGGGAATGCTTATTAATTTTGCTTGTAAAACCCCACAACAGACCCACTGGGAGAAAAGCAAGCAACAGCAGACTTGGTGAGCAGCCTGAAACCAATCACAAAGTGGCTTTCGTCAGGTCTGCATTTCAGTGCTCTTTTCCAGGGTAAGTGCTCGTAAAATCAGCCTGGCCACTGCTGCCACAGCTCACTGCCATGAGCTTCTGCACAAATCTGCAGAGGTCTTGCTGGTCTCTATCTCAGGTGATGCTGTTTTCCTGGGAATGGTGGCTAGGGCCGTGCTGGCTATGAAACGTGTGAGCCACTTCAGGTCTGGCGTGCATTTAGAAGAGCTGCTCTGTGGGAGCAGAAGAGAGGCTGGCGCTGAAGCAGCAGGTGCTGGGAGGGACTGCAGCAGCATAACTGCCCCCGAGGGACGTGGTGCACAGGCACACGCTGGGTGGCAGAGACCAGCATCCTCGTCCAGAGGAGGGGATACTTCCATGAGGAATGTGCCCTGTGCTGGGCTCCAGCAAGCAGAAAAGGCTTTCTGTCTCATGAGGGACTTTACCATGTGATTCCTGTCCTCCACAGACTAGGTAAGTGGCCCAGACTGTAGACTCTGCACGGCACAGCCCCAGGAGACAGTTATACCTTGTATCCTTCCTTGTTCCTTTTCTGCACGTGCCCCAATCACGAAGACAACCATGCTACTTTCAGCCCAGGCCACATAGCACCAGTTCCCATGCCACCTCTTCCGGTTTGTCTTACACTACAAATAAAGAGCGTGCTGGACCTCGGGTGGACCTTAGCACCCGACAGGCTGTGGCTCCACCTGGTCCCGGCCTCCAGCCATAACCTTGGTGTTCCTCATATCTCTCTTTTCTCTTCACCTCTCGCCACTCTCCCTGGCCTTGAACCCTGTGCTGTGTGGGTCATGTAGGCCTCTGTCTTTCCCATCTGAACATTTCCTTGGGGTGCCGAAGACCTAAGTGGTCTGCTTTTTTGTTGTCCTGAAACACTCCAAAGCATGAGACAGACGGGAAACAGGCTCAGACCCACGAAGCCATTCCTCACAACCCCGCTCTCGGAAAAGACATCAGCAGAAGGAACTTTGACCTGTAATGTTCTTCACAAATTGATTTCCTCGATCGTGATATAAAATTCACATCACGTTAGTGGATTTTAGCATATTCAAAAACTGGTGTAAGCACCACGAGAGCCTTCGTCCAGGACTTTTCCATCACCCCACAGCAGCAATCAGCCATGGAGTCGCCCATACCCACACCCCTCATGGAGCCTGGCAAGGGTGTCTATGGTCCACTCCTAAGGATATGTGTGCTTTGGTCACTTCACGCGCATATGTGTGTGTGACATACAGAGTCATGCGCATTCCACACGTGTCTATACACCTATGCCACACGTGCACACCTGTGCTGGCAGAGAGGAGCTCTGGGAGGAGACTGTGCACTGGTTTTGGGTTTAGTGCACATCCCCCACAGTGAATTCAACGTGCATTAGGTGTGAGTTATTGCTCCGTCATTCAGTTTGTACAGATGCTTCAGACCTTGAACAAAATGACAGTTTTCACCCCAGCATCTGACATCTTTAAGCCAGAGGAAATATCCTTCCATAGGATACAGTTTAGACCAGAAAAAAATTATTAGTGTTATGTAAAAGAAAAAAATGTGTATTTGTACTCCTTGCTTTAGAAAAGCCTGCTGCCAACAGTCTCTGGAACCTCACAGTCAGTTTAGCCAAGTGTACAGGAAGGTTCTGAGTACTGCCTTTAGTGTCACAGCCTCTGAAGCCAAACAGACAACTAGGATAGTAGGGCTTTAAAACATCGGGAGGTTTTCCTGAGTTATGCTAAGTTCACCATCAACAACCACTTCTGCTGAATGTGCCGAAAAGCACTGTCACGTTTTCTACCTCCGTGAGTGGAGAGGGGGCTGATTCTGGGCGTGAAAGGGCCACAGCCAGAGAGGGGAGAGCAGATGCGACTGGCTCCCGGGAGCAGGGTCCACGGTCTGCAAGCGAGGAGGGGACACTCACAGCTTGCTGGGAAGCGTGGGCAGCTCGTGCAGGATCTCTTCATATGGCTTCTCTTGGGCCAAGGAGGGAGCAGACACTGGCTCCCTCATCCTCTCTTCCCACGCCACCTCGGCCTTCAGCAGCATCTCCTCGATGAACTCTGAGGCAGCGACATCTGCAGGAAATAACGAGAAAGTCAGGCACTGCGGGGTGACAGCCCAGAACACTTGACTTTCAGTACCCAGATATGCCTAAAATGGGTGAAATTTATCAGCACACGAGGCAAATCCAACACATTAAAAGGTTATGGTGCGGATAAAATTGCAATATGGCCATTTAAAAAGACTATTTTGTCTTAAATCAATGACACATTTAATTACACATGAAAAAAAATAAGGACATATTCACCGGATGGTGTTTTGTAAAATGGAAAATTATGGTGAGGATTGGCTTCAAAGGATTTAATGCCATTTCATTCCTACTAAAACTTTTCCTGTGTCTCGCTCTGACTCAAAATGATAATAATACAAGGTATGATCATAAAATACAGAGAATGCTTACATTTATGACAGTTTTATTACAGTAAAAGATACATTAGCGTTAATTCCCCTCAAGTTATTCCCCCTTGCACCACATACATTTATCCCAGCGTCCCTGCCCCTTCCTGCAGCAGCTCTGGAGCCTTCTCCTCAGTGCCTCTAGCTGCACTGTCCTGGTGCCTTGATGTCCTGAGTGGGTTCAGAACGCTTCCCTTTCACGCTCACTTTCACCCGATCAGGGAGTGAGGTGGATGGGAAAACACTTTCACGTTTTTGTGAACCTGCCTTTCTGTTAAGCAGTGCTCGGCAGTAATGCTCACAATAGTTGTGGTCACACCTGGTAAACCACCGGGAAAGGAGATTCCAGAGCCACTGCAGGGAGGGGCAGGAAGGAGGGAGAGTGTGTTCCAGGTGAAGGGGCCGGTTTGGAAGGGGACTCGTCCAGCGCGTATGCTGATCTCCCCCTTGTAGCTGTGTTCCTAGGGCTGGGATGTGAAGCGCTCTGTGAACACTCAGCCCGATGGACGTGTGTGCAAAGTGACACTAGGTTCTGTGATCAGAACAGTGCATCAGGCTCTTCCCACGACTTTATTCATCCCATCGGAAACATCGACTAATACGTGTCCTATAAAATGACAACTCAGCAATGATGTCTGTACACATCTGGGCAGCAATATACGTACAGCTCCAAAGTTTATTCCTAGCAAATCTAACACTGAAACTGTAACATCTGGAGGATGAGCCCCACGACTGCGGGAGGCGGCCACCAACTCCCGGGACTATGCCTGTCCACAGTGAGTGACAGGGTTTCGTGGGCCAGGCCACGTAATGTAGCTGCCACAAGACCGGCAGGGTACGGTCTCCCTTTGCCTCGGATTAGGTACCACACAAGTGAAGAGGGGAGAGAGCTCCGCTTCCTCGTGCTGAGAAGCTGAGCTTCTAGCCCACAGAAAAGTTACATCTCGAACACTTTTTTCCCCAAGACACTAAAATTCAGGAGCTGGAAAAGGATGAGAGCAGAATGCAGCAGGGATGATGGTTTCCGCTTGCTCAGCTGCCGCATGGCTGCCAGTTCCTTACTTTGTGCACTACCCTGTTTCCTGTCCGTGCTCCTTGCTCACTGGTGAGATGCTAGGATTTCTGGGAGTCCCCTGACATCTCTCACCGTATCAGTTCTCCTTGTGTGTGTCAGAAATACCTTTATTTAATTAAGAAATATGCCCCAAGGGTCCCTGAGGGTCCCGGTACCGTGGGTCTGGATGGCAGAAGAAAGTGCTGGACTGGCTAAGGTGACCAGGGCTGATGGACATCAGAAGTCTGTTCCCTCCCTGGGCCCCAAGAAGGTCAACCGTCATTGGCATTGGTTGTGGACCCTTGGCAGTGGCTCGGAAGAGGAAAGAAGGGGGGTCCCTGTGCGCCAGGGTCCCTGATGTCCTCCCCTGTCCAGTACGAGTGCAGGACAAGAAGCTGACACCACGGCCCCAGTGGAACTAGAGTTAGCAGAGGATGCCAACGTGCACATTTTTAAAAAGCTGCAATGTTCTTTCGCCTTTTTAATGTTTACTACAAGGCACAATCAGTGTTCAGTGGCCAATGTCATGATAACCAGACATCACTAGCAATAGCCTGAATCTAAAGCCTGAGACAAGTTATCTATTCCAGTTCTTCTTGTTATTCACCTCATTTTAGCAGAGAATTTTAATAAGCACTGAACAATCTCATTTAATACCTACAAAACAAAAAGTAGAGCAAATTCCTGCATCTTGGCTTGAACTAGAGATTTATGAAATAATTTTACTCCTAGCACTAACAGAATGATAACATCTAAGAATAAGGCCTTTTAGGGTTGGCAGAGACCCAGAGATGTAATAAATAAATAATTTATTCAGTTACTCAGATCAATAACTTCTTTTAAACATCTTTACATTCTGGTGTGACTTATACTAGACTCTTTATTCAAAATTCTTCTGCCTTTAACATTGTAGAATCAACTACGAAAAATTTTGTTACTAAATTTTAAAGCTATGAAACCAACGTGGCATCTATGTTATTAAGTAGAACATGAACACAGGAAAAAGCAGGGATAATTATGGAAAGTTTCAAAACTACTTTTTAGTGAATAAGTGACCTCAAGTCCAGGTTTCAGAGTTCTACCTTACTGTGAGACTGTTAGCCTCTATTTCCTATAATCTAAATACCTGCGCAGAAAACAGAGCACTATTGCTGTTGAAAAGTACCCTGAGGAATAAGCGCATACGTGCGAAGAGAAGAAACTGGTGAGGTAACAGAAAAGTGCGTTTCTACGTGTGTGCCCCGAATGAAGTTAGAGCAGGAAAAGCGGAATGGAAGGACGCAGCACAGTGGCCCACAGGGTTGTCTGTGCCCTGACAGCCTTCCACAGGTGGGGGTGTGGGTGCAATCACACTTTTCCCCAGTTCCACAGAAACCCGTGCCTTAGCTAGAGATGGAAGAAGGCAGGACCTGTCCGGGGCCCTGCATGCCCCTCGCCTACCTGATGGCTTCTCTTCATTTCGGTTCACGAGCTTTGGGTTTGCCTGATGGATCAAAAGGAGCTTCACCAGGTTTGTCTGCAACACAAAGAGAATGGACAGAGGAAGCGGACGCCCAACCTGAGGGCCCCTCAAGCAGTGGGCAGCGGTGGCCTCAAGGAGCCGACCGACTTGGCATGAGGATCAGCACGGTACAGTGCTCCTACCGAACCCCCTGCTGGCTGACCCTGGGAATGTCTCAGCAAGGTGCGCTTTCCAACAGAACCCCACGGAAATGAGCGGGCAGCTCCTGAGGACCGGAAGGAGATAATTCATACCTTTCCAGCTGCTCTAGGTTGTTCCATACACACTTACATGCATACTTACATATATGAAAGAGCAATAACTAACCTCAGCGTACTGAAATTGAGTATCTGTGATGCATCTCCAACTGCCCCTCCCAATTTCCCAGAGTTGACTATCAGGAATGCTGGGACATTATTATCTTTCTTTCCATGCTTAGCAAATACATTTGGAAGTATACCTACTCTGCTGACAAATTCCAGCTTACAGATTCCTCTCTGACTTTTCATCAGTGCGAGTCCAAGAATCCTCCAAGCTGAGTTTAACCAGTTTACTCATTTTCTTGGCTACCCAGAAGTGCACTGTTCAGATAAGTCACAACTTATGCACCTTCGCCTTGGTGGATATTCAAGCTGTTTGCAGTCATTTATCTAGCTTTGAAGTACCAGTGCGGATATCAGTGTTTAATATCAATATGCACTGTTTATAGAACGTACACACAGGATGGAATGGGTCAGAACCTGGGAGGAGAAGTCATCACAGAGCTTGGGTGGCCCCAGTTTTTTTCAAAATGATTGTTTGATTTACACTCCTACTCCACACAGGGGTCTTGCTGCTCCACACTCTGTGTATAAATTTACCAGCAGACATTTTCACAGGTTGCTAGGTTCTTGGTGTGGTGGGATTAGTCCTTGTGTCCCTAAACCCCTCTGTCGGAAATGGAAGTCTTGAGTACCTATAGGACTCTCTGGGCTTCCTTTTTGGTCTTGAGGCACTTTCCTAAATTACGCTTTTTCTAGTATTTTCCATCTTTGTTTAACTCTTCAGATTTGTTGGTGTAACACCATCGGCTGTTGCTTTGGTTTGAAATTCACATCAGACCTTACAGTGCAGCAGCATTAAGAGGCAGGGGCATCAGGGAGGATGCAGGCCACAAGGACCCTGCTGCTCCCAATGGGCTGTGGGGAACTACCTGGGCCCTTTTCACCTGTTCCCTCCCCCCTTCCTTGGCTGAGGCCATGGTGCAGCCCCCGTGGAGCACAGAGCATCCACTCTGCCTTCTTGGAGGTAGAGACGGGTCTTCCGCAAACACCAATACTGCCAGCTCTCTCACCTTGGCTTCACCAAGTGCCAGGCGTCTGCTACGAAGCAAATGCACCACGACTGTGCTGCTCCTCCCCAGCTGGTCTCTTCCTGCCTACTCCACAGCTGTGCTGTGTCTCTGGTTACTTTCTGCTTTACACAAATTCTCTTTCTCTTATCTTTCCCTCTCAGAACAAATAGTTATAGAACATGGCTCATCTCAATCAAAACAAATTCTGGGTACTGTTGATCCTTTTTATTGTATTTTGTGTTATAGTTCAATACTTTTTGTGTTTATGTCTTTAAACCCGCTACATTCTCTGTGCTTATTTTACTAATCTCTTCCAAACTGGTCATCTAGCTCCTTCACTTGGGAACACTCATGAACATTTATATTGGCTTTACTGTGTTAAAGGTTATACATTTTGATTATAACACCATTTTTCTATATCTCATATAGAGATAGGACTATCATTTTTGTTATGACTTTGTTCTAAATATCCTTAAATTGTCATTATGATTTCATTTTATATTTATAAAGTAGGTTCTCAGATAATACATGCATCTGCAACAGAAATGGCTCCTTCTCACTTAACAAATATTGCTACATAGCACTTTGGTAGGCAAGGGGAGCCAAAATAATGGAAATGCAACCACAAAATTAGAAGACCTCAACTCAGCTTTTATTGTGGAAATCAGAAACTTCTTATATACACTTCTGGTAATTTTTCATTTTTATTTATTAGTATATGTGTGCAGTACATAATGTTTCTACTCCTTGTGCGGAGTTGGTACATGTATATAACACATCTTTATTCCTTTTAAAATAATTTAAATGCAATAAAATTCACAGATATCAAGTGCACAGCTGTAAGTCTGACCCAACAGGTAAACAGCACAATTAAAATCCAGAGCATTTGCACCCCTTCTGCAGTTAACGTCCACCATGCAAGAAACCACACTGTACTTTGTACTACCTTGGACTACTTTGCCTAGTCCTAAACTTCATGTAAGTTTCTTAGAGGACAGAGAGAGAGAGACAGATGAGCAGGTAGACAGACTGAGAGCCAGGTGTGCCCCACACATTGTTCTGGACACGCATTCATCTTTTTGCATGCAACTATTCTCGCTTCCTTTTCTGGCCAAGGCAGGGTGCATTGTGTTAATTCCCTACAATGCATGCGTCCGTTTGAGCTGTGTCCCTTGTGTCCTTTGAAGAAAGCTGTCATGGATATTTGCCATTTTAAGGGTCATAGATTTTCATTTCCCTTTAGAAAACATTAGGAGTAGAATCCTGGGTGATCTGGAGAGTAGGCATTTCCTCTTTTTAAATAGACTGCCAGACAGTTTTACATCTTCTCCAACACTTGGTATTGTCACTGTAGAACAATTTTATCTGTGATTCCTGGAGTGAAGACGGATTTCGGTACATGTTAATTTACACTTCCCTCATGACTAACGATGCTGGACACCTTCTCAAGTGCTCAAGGGCCACTTTTGTATTTTCTTTCGTCAAATATCTATTGCAGATTTTTCTTCCATTTATTATTGGATTTTAAAATCTTTCTATCTTTGGTTCTGTATGTACTCATTATGTGTTCTGGATGTTCTTTTTCAGTTATAACTTCTTTTGGAATTTTTATTCTTTTTTTCTCTTGTCCTAATTTTGCATTTCATGTTTATTTATATATTGCTTTATTAGACAGATTCCAATGGGGCTTGTCACTTCAATTTTTTTCCCTAATGTACTGTTTCCTGTGGCATTCTTTACCCCTTATGGGTGTCCTGTTCAGAGGTCTGCAAATATCAGTAATTACTTTTGTCAGTATTCGCACTATAAAACTCACTAGGTTTCACTGTGTGCCCCACTGGCAAATCTTACATGGGTTTATTTGAAATTAGTGTTTGCCTTTACAGAATACAAATTATTTCAGTAAAATTAATATTCTTATAGCAGAGTTCTTATAATTAGAAGTTTATTTCGATTTTCAAGTGTATAGTTTACTGATGCTAACTAAGAAAAGGAGTTCTTTTGAAGTCTGAAAGATAAAAATAATACAGTATATTCTCAGGATATTAAAATAGGTTCCAGACAGAATTTTGTTTTAAATTAAGGCTGTTAGAGAGCCTGCATTTTTAAGTCACAGGGAAGGAAAGAAGGGAAGGAGGGAAGAAGGGAGGGAAAGGGAAAGAGGGAGGGGAGGGGAGACAGAGCAAGGGGGAGAGAGAATTGAAGAAGAAAGCAAGGAAAGCCCACAACTGAGTAAGACTGACCTTGTTTTTCACAAATTAAAAAGAATGGCAGTAAGCATAAAAGATTTGATCTTTTCAAAAGTCTCAAGAGTTTAATAATTATGTTGCACTTCAGAATCCAACTTAGAGAGTATGCCAACAACCTACTTCTCTCTCCAACTCTTAAATGCAGAAATCATTTAAGTAATAAAAGCAAAAATGCTTTCTACATGAAAATCTCCAACAGTAAAAGTAATTCCATTTTATTTAGGGCCCATAAAAATAAATACTCACGTGTGGAAAGAGAATCTTCTCCGACCCGGGGAATTCCTTTCTGATCACACAGAATTTCCCATGAGCCTCTAGGTAGAAGGCAGTGAGACAGACTGGAAGGAGGCGGCCGACTTACTCCTGCTCTCCTACCCTGGATATCTGCCAAGCTCACCAAGGACCAACCACAGGTAGGAAAATCAGTTCCACCACACCGAGACTTTAGAAGCAGCTTGGCAGTTGGTGGCCAGGAGGGCAGTATCATGGTGTGAGTGCATCGCCGTGTGTGTGTGTGTGTGTGTGTGTGTGTGTGCAAACACATGTGTGCATGTGTGTGTGCAAGCACGGGTGTACAAAGGGAAGGGTAAGTGACTAAAATTTAAATTCCTGGACACAGACTTTACTAATTTTTGGGGTAGTTCTATTTCTGTCTGATTAAATTTAGAAAATTAATTCTTTGATATTCTTTGATAATTAATTCATGATTCACTGCACGAGGGGCAGTGACACTGCTGATGTCCGCCAGAGCCCGGGCTCTGCCTACAGTTTGCACTTACATTCGGCCTGCACACGAGGCATGGTCAGAAGTGCGCATCTCCAACTCTGAAGACCTTGGGAGAATTTTGGATCTAAGTGTAAAACTGTCTGTAAATTAATATTTATTTATGATTCAACTATAAGATTGTGCACTAGACTCCCGATTCCATGTCATCGGAGGGACAGATGCTGCTGACACTCGGGTATTTTATGAGGCCGTCCTGGGGCTTCTTTCCAGATGCACCCTTTTCTACTCCACACAGTGAGTCCCATCCTCTCGTTCTTTTCTGTCCACCCCTCCTCTGGAGGAACGTTTCTTTACAACAGTACCTCAGTTTGTGTTGTGTGTCAGTAACAGGGTCACTGCTCACGGACAGGAATTTCTTTCCCACACTCCTGGAGCTTGGGAAGCCCGAGATCAAGGTTTCCCGACACAGCCCAGAGCTCGGGCTGTGCTTCCAAGATGGTGCTCCAGCAAGTGGCCACGGAGAAGCAGAACACCAGGCCTCAGGGTGGAAAAGCACAACGGCATCGCTCCGTTCCTGAAGGACAAGCCCTCACGACCCAGACACCTCCTGCCGGGCCTCACCTTCTCATGCTGTTGTGGGGCTATGGAGTTTCCTGCACGTGAATTTCAAGGAGTCCATTTAGACCAGAGCAACTCTTAAATGTGTGGTTCTTCAAACCGTTTCCCTGGCTGAAGTGCTTTTCCAGTGTGCGCGCCTCTGAATAATCCGCACCACATCTCCCCTTCTAGCCCCACCCAGCTCATACTGGGCCGGGTCCCTATTGGGCAGCTCCCCGAGGAGTTCCCCTAGTGTTCATGGTCTCAGAATGTTCACCCATCCCCTCCCGATTCAGTGGTCACTGACGAAGGTGGGCTCTGCCCACTGGGGCACCCACTGCTCCTCTCGTCAGTGCAACTGAGCGCGTTGCGTGGCAGGCGCAGGAGACAATGTGAGACGAGAACAACCCAAGGAGACGCTACAGCCGCACTCCACACTCACAGTGACCAGACCATCACAGCACACTCTGGAAGGCTGGCACATAGGACAGGGCCGCTACATGCATGGTGGTGCAGGAGGAGCATGGTCAGAGTTAGAAAAGTCTAGCAGGAAGTGACGTCACCTGTGTACCTACCAGGTAAGGAAGAGTCAACAACTTCAGGTAAAACAAAGAATAGGACACATGGTTAGGGGGACTTATTCTGTGGTGGAAGGAATTCAGTAGGGCAACAACCTCCAAAACAGCAAAGAGAAATGCAACTGGAGAATTAAGCCAGGGCCCAGCCACTCGGAGACTTACGGAGTGTGCTATGGAGTGGTATATAATGTCACAGCCTGGGAAGGAAGCCACACCACGCTGAGGTATAACAACTGCGGCCGCCATGCTGAGACCAGACTGGTGGGAGGACAGTGTGGCCAGGAGGGGTGGACTGTGCAGGGACATTGCTCCCTGGGCCAGGGTGTCCTGAGGATGCACGGAGCAATCAACAGTGGTTTCAGCTCAAGCAGCTGGAAACCCTCCAGGAGGAGGTGTTGCAGGCCCAGCGTTGCACAGTGAGGGAGGAAGAGGAAGGACTCAACGAGCAGCGATGTGTGTGGTGTGAATGAACAACACAGAGAGATCGTTGGACACATAGGGGTGGGGGACGATGTGGTCACCTCCCTTCCCACAAGCTGAGTCAAACCACAGGGGAAGAAGAAATTGCTTGACTTCTGGGCTCGACAGGCAATGCCTCTAAATACTTCAGCAAGTGCATTATTCAGATTCTGTGACAGATATTTTGCATGCTGGTTGGTATCAAAGACACTGAATTCACTCTAACTTCACTGGATATTTTACCCCCAAACTATTTGGAAATCAGTTTAGTTTCAATTTCCAAATACAAATAAAATGGTTGTTGTTTCATATATTACTAAGACTTTAACAGAACAGTATCCCTATTTTGAAAGCTACTTTCGATACTAGTGAGTTATTGTGAACACCGCTGTTCCATGCTCCCATATAAATCATGTGTTGTGTTCTTTTTCTTCATCAGAACAAATTGGAGCTCAGTGAGAAACTGACTTGTGAATAGTAGCTCAAGATGTATTCGCTACAGCCAAAAATTAAGAGAAATTTGCTCCCCATCCTTCATTCATTAAAATGAAATATAATTTATAGGAAAAAAGAGCATAAAATGTAGTTTTGTTTTATCTAGTCCCTGTAGAAAGCAAACAGAATTACTATAAACCTGTAAAACTAGCCTGTATGTGCTACACTGAGAAAGAGTATTAACACTGTTCTAAGAAGAATATTGCCAGAGACTATTTTTCCAGTAATTTTGACTAAACTATGCAAAGTTGCAAGGAATGTACATGTGCCCTTGCAACATTAAATATTTTTATCCAACTACTAAAATATTTGTAGAATAAAGAGACACCATTAAAATTCAAATTACACTGATTAGCATATAATCTGGAAAACAATAAAATTAAATATGAAATGATCTGATTAGAGGACGATTTTGTGAAATGACGTAGAGTCCTTTACCTGGCCGTACTTGGCTGCCAAGTGCAGAGGCGTCCAGTACTGGTCGTCCGTGACATCGAGGTTCCCACCGTGCTCCAGGATGAGCGACACCACCTCCTTGTAGCCACTAGCACAGGCCATGTGCAGCTGCAACCAAAGAGACATCATTCCTGAGCTTTGCTACAGAGAACAGTGAGGCCAACAGAAAATGTTTAGTGGTTTACAGAGAGAGGTTCAATAAGAAACTGGATCTGAACTAGTGTAAAGTAAAAAGAACATGACTATAATTTTTGATTTGTTACTGTCATTCTTTAAAAGAAATATTATGAATTATGAAGACATATTAATGATTATTTTCCCTCTGGCTGTGAGAGTCTGTAATTCCTATCCCCTCCCATTGTTCCTTTCCACTGTGATCTGAAATTTTTAAAATGAAAAATTCAGTAATTCAGTATTTCACACCTTCCTGCCCACAGGACAAAGAGTTATCGACCAGCTTTAATATTCCAGGGAATTCCAAGACAGCTGTAAATCCTGAAATTGACCAGTGCACTTCTGTCCCCGTGAAGGCATAGAACCAGTGGAAAAGATCAATGAATCCCAGCGAGCTTACACATGACTCTCTGGTTACCTTCTTTTCAGTGTACTGCTTATTTCCTGAATGGAATCTAAAGTTTAGAAATGAAGGCTTAGGATCTATAACAATGAGTGCAGAATTTGGAGAACGTTTTTTTCAAGTAGGGTAATTCCATTTCCAAAGCAGCAGTTTTTCTTCCTAAATAAACTATCAAACTGTTATCACACCCAAATTAAATGGGGTTACTAAATAAGTATTTGATTCACTTCATAGACACGATAGATAGAACACACATCATGAAAGGAAAAAGAATAAATACCTTAAAAGTAGTAAAACCAGTGAGATCGAGGTTGGTAGCAAAATCTTTCATAGCTTTTTATTATACAGAAAAAATATTTACTGTACATATAGTGATGAAACTTAGCAGAAAATATGTTTTTATACCTTTGTACTTACACTCTTCAATCCAGTGTATATTAGCCTAATTATTGCTGGTACTTCCAACTTCATTGTAATAACAAGTAATTCACTTAATTTAAGGCATACATAAAGCTTGGTGTCCTACCCAAGTCTCACACACACAGACCCTTCCATAGTTTGCTATATTCACAGTTCATCTTCTTCGTAGTCCAGCAAGCGGTACTGAGAGTAATACATACACAAGTATCGCAGAAGCGCGACTGCATCTGCCTTTAGTCCTAGAGAACTAGTGGTACACGCACTTCTAAATCCGGTCCGCTTAATGCAAGTAATTAGTAAATACTTAGCAGGTTAGGCTGGGCAATCCGCAGGAACATCTGAATTTCAGAGGACCTTAGATTTTGGTATAAAATGGCATCTGCAAATCTGAGTCAAGATGGACCTGTCAGTTCTAAGGTTTGCAAATGGTAGTACTTCAGATACGTAAGTTGATTAGATATCTTGTAGGCAGTTAGATGGTGCTCAAGGAGCCAACATGGAGGATAATCAAGACACATTCACTGTGGCCAGAACTGTAAAAGGAAAGAAACGACTACACCCTTGTGCTTCCCCCCGGGGATAAAGAGATAAAGAGCAGTGACTGACATTCTGAATAGGTATCAATCATCTGGGTGGGGGGCAAGGTCTCAGCCCAGCCTTTCCAGGAAATATTCCTGACCCCCACCCTTACTGAAAATCCTTGTATTCTTGCTATGTGACTTGCTCCCCAATTTGACCCCCCATTTCATCAATATTACCTGGGTGACTGTTCTTGTAATCTTATTGGTTGGTCGTGGTTTTGCCCCACCTCATGCCCACCATGTAAATTTCCATTGGGTCTTCCAGTTTTGTCCCACTTTGTTCCTACCTCACCACATGGCTTGGCTGTATAAAACATCTTTGAAAAGTGGGGTGGGCGGGCAACCCACTTTCTGGTCCCCCTTCTGTCTCTCTAGACAGAAGCTTTCTTTCTCTCAATAAAATTTTCCTACTCTTCACCTCCGCTGTTCCTAGCATTCATTCTTCAGTTTTAGAGAACATGAACTCGCGTTCGGATATGGAGCAGGTTTGGGAGTTGCGTCTATTACCCCAGTATCAGTAGCAATGATGTCAAGTTCAGCCCCCCAAGGAGTAGTATTCTTTCCACACAGCAGAACTGGGTTCCACCGCTTGGAAACACAGCCAAATCTAGCCTCGTGCTTGGCTGAAAAGCTGAAGATTAAAGCAAAAACCATCCCTGCTATGGCTAGAGGTGCAGCTCCAAGCACGGCTGCCAGTGCTGCCTACAGCCTGGCAAGTTTCATTCCAGGCTCTGTGAAAAGCTGAGAAGGAGCAGAGGGAGATGGGAGGGAGGGAGGAGAGGGAAGCGAAAAGGCCCCAAGATGTGCAGTGCCCAGGCATGGATTCCCTGCGATGAATGTGCTGTGTACTGCAAGTTGGGAATTAACAAAATGAGAAAAGAAAAAACCTCAGAGCAACAATAAACCCTGAATGGAAGAAATGGAGAAACTGGGGTCTAGAAATTTAGGCGCTCGCTTAAGCAGGGAGGGCCCAAGACCACAGTCTTCCGCTTCGCTAATTCTCAGATGTGAAACAGCACATGGTGGGCACAAAGGTGGCCAGGCCAGAGGGTGGCAGTGCCGTGGGAGGCTCCCGACCCTTTGTACTCTCCCACCAGTGGCTGTTCTAAGATAAACATTTCTTCTTCCTCTGAGCCACCCTGCCACCACACGTTCCTCTTGTGTTAAACTCCAGCCTGGAGGATGTGCAGTATTTGCAGTTGCTTCCTTCTTGCCTGGGCTCACAGCCAGCGGGGACACAGCTTCTTGCCTCCTGGCTCACTGTTTCCCCAGCACAGCACTGGGTGCTCATGCCACACTGGAGCAGGGGGGCTCAGTCCCTAGCGCGGGAATCTGGAGTCGACTCGGCAAGACCTGACCAGGTGGTGAGTACTGACATACAGACGCTGGGTCCTACTGCAGCAGGACAGTCTCGTGACACCCTGTCACTTCATGACAGCTTTAATTGCTAGAAAATGTACTACAATTTCTACAATTTACTACGGGTTCTTTTCTATAGTTACAAGTTTTCAATTTCTTTCCCCCAATACATGTCACACCTACTTAAAAAGCATCACCTTGCACAAGTTACAGAACTGGAAAGAAGCATGGATGGCCATGTATTTCAGTGATGGCTCTGAATGTTGGCCTTTGCTCTGGACTAGGCTTTGGTGTGGGAGCCCGGCCATGGCCCTCTAGGAGTTTGACATTTAAAAGGAAACTTCTTCACCTCTACACTCAAGGCATTGATACAATCTGTAACATTCTAGGACTGTGCTTGTTAAACTTGTTGCTGCAATGGGAGAAACTCAAGGAGACAGCCAAAGATCTGATGTTCTTTGCAAAGAGTCAGAAAATCCGGTCTTTGCATAAAAGATACAAATAGTTGCTTGGTGCTTCCTGTTGATGTGAACCTATAAAAGGAGCTGTTTCTGTGAAATAAATCAGACTTCTCTTCGTCTCCGCTCAGGCTTGAGTGTTCTTTCCTTTCTCAATCCACTGTGTATGTACCTATAAAAGGAGCTGTTTCTGTGAAATAAATCAGACTTCTCTTCGTCTCCGCTCAGGCTTGAGTGTTCTTTCCTTTCTCAATCCTCACTCCCCCACTCAGGCAAGCTTGTGTTGGGACGGCTGGACCGCCACACTTTGGCAACACTGCTCAGCCACTCGCTGAATCCTGAAGCCCTACCTGGGTTCCGCAGTGACAAACTTTCTGTCTCCATCCCGCATCCACACAGCAGAAGGCCAACTTCTACATACAGAGTACTATGTATTTATTTTTCAGTCTACAAACTGTCAGGTGTACACAGACTTACTTTAAGAAAACCGATACTTGTGCTGTGCTGGTCACTGCCTTCCATGTGCTGCACATTAGTATGCATTTAACTATTCCAGCCATTTTATAAATCAAGTATCATTGTGCACTTAACTAATTTAAGACCCATTTCACTCGAGGTGTAACTGTGACCCAGGCCCCATGCAGTCGTGCCCTAGACAGCAGCGGAGAGGTCTGCACGCCTGGTCTCCATGGGTGGGCGGACCCTGCAGCAGGTAGGGCACTGTTATCACCCACATGAAGCCCAGTAACAGGACTCACAGGTGACAAGAGCGAGACTGAGAAGCCACATCAGTCCCAGCCTAGAGAGCGGGGTGCAAGATGGGCAAGCATCTGTCGGGCCTCCGCACCAAGGAAGCTTCCCTCTGGCCCTGTGTTTCAGGAACACACAGAACAGGGTCACGCATGTGCAGCAGAATTGGCCCAATTCCTCCTTATTGGGCATTTCTGCATTTTTTTTATAGCATAAAATCATTTCTTTTTGGTAGTCCTACATGCTTTGTCTTGTCACTTTGCTTGTCACTGGACGAAATAAGCGACACCCACAATTTAAGGGAGGAGGAGTTTATTCTGGCTCTTGGTTCAGCCCACAGGCATCAGGCTCCCAGGCAGGGCGGCTGTTATGGCTGGGTCTAGGTGTCCCCCCAGCCTCATGCAGTCTTTTCCAGAGGTGGCTGAATTTAGAGTGTGTGACTGATTGATGGGGCAGTGCTAGTCCCAAGGGCACTAGGATTAAGGGTGCTGGCCTCCCTTGTAGTCCAGATAAGGTAAAAGGAGAAGAAACTCACTGTTAAGGTCCCTTGCTTGCTTGCTTTTGCTGTCCTTCCCCACCATGAACTGTTGCCCTCTGCCAGGCCACCTGCCTTGAAGTGAGCTGATTATGGACTAAAACTCCTACAAACTGTGAGCAAATAAACCTTTTCTCCATTAACTTTGGGTGTATTTTGTCTCAACAACAAGAAGCTAAAATAACAGGTAACTAAAATAGTGGCATAGTGGAAGAAAAGGGGCTCACCTCATGGAGGCCAAGAAGCAGAGCACGAAGGGAGGAGCAGGGGAGGGCAATAAACCCTTCCAGGCCACACCCCTGTGACCCCCCCAGACCAGACCTACCTCTGACAGCAGCCAGCTCTGAGACCCACGATCGAATCACCTGCCAAAGCCCCACCGGTGGGCCCATGAGGCTCTTGGGAGACATCTACCTTCCTAGAAATGG